TTTAAGCATCTTACTAGTAAAGTTTTTTATCCAGTGTGCTTATGACTAAGCGGGACAGAGACGAGCAATTCTCTTGGTGATGACCAAGACTGTGAAGCATTTTGTAGAGCATTCTGGGGGTCCAGGCACCCTGATTCTCAGCTTCAGACTCCTTTCCCACCCGAGTCATGATTCGGGGCTTTCAGAGCAGCGGCTCAGGCCCCGTGCCGAGCCGGGCTCTTGCCTCTGCCTCTGCGTCTGGCCGTCCTAACTGCTCCTGGCATCCAGGGCTTCCTCCAAATTCCTCTGCCTACAGGGAGCGTTGTCCTAACGGACTTGTGAACAGGAGTCCACGAATTCCGCCTCACTCACTCAGTCGTCTCCGTCACACACCCGGGAGGGCTCTGGAAGGGGTCTTCTGGCTGCTGGTACAGACAAGGACACCGGGCCTCGGGGGTAACTGCTCCCCGAAACGCTGTAGCACTTGGCAGCTGGACGCGGTGTGGAGGGCTGGTCAGCGGGGGCCTAGAGGGAGATAGGGGCTGGGCTCCTGGGCTTCCTAGGTAGGTGGGTGCTGCCTTCACTGTGCAGTAGAGGAGGGTGAGGCCTGGAGCTCAGGCTGGAGTAGGCAGCTGACGAGCTAGAATGGGGGCTCCAAGGGGCGGGGCGCCGGCCAGGGGGCTGGTCAGCATGAGGTCCGGCCGCCCTGCTCATCAGGAGCTGGGATAGTGTGTGTGTGTGTGTGTGTGTGTGTGTATGTGTGTATGTGTGTGTTGGGGGGTACACGTGCACACGTGTGTGGGTTCGTGTATAACTGTGGAAAGCTGTGCTCATATGTGTGCAAATTGTGTGCGTGGCTCAGCAGCGGTAGAGCCCGTGACTTCTATGCATTTGTGCATCCATGCACATATATATGTGGATACACGTGTGTTTGGGTCAGCACGTGTGGGCGCAGCTGTGGTTATGTGTGCATGGATACGCCCGGGCGTTTGTGGGTACACTCGTTAGCTACGTGGCATGTGTAGAGGCACGTGAGTGGCTGTGCGCACGTGGACGCAAAGTGGCTTGCATGGGGCACGTGTGTGACTGTGTGTTTATACTTTGTGCACGTGTCCACTTGGGTACACTAGTGTATTTGTGCATGCTGTACACATGCATGTGTGAAGGCGTGTGTGTGTGAATCGTCTGGTATGGCACACATGTGTATATGTTTGTGCTTTTATAGATGTAGACGTAGTATTTGGTCATGTGGGTCCACGGGGCTTGTGTGCACCTGTCTGCACAGGTGACTAAGGTCTTTCGTGCCCCAGGTGCTCTGGCCCCCGGGAGGCCAGGCCGCTCGGACCCTGGGGTCCCCAGCAGGAGGAGTGCCGTCTCCCTAGTGAGACCCCAGCCCGAACCCCCAGTGTCAGGCAAGAGCCCTGGCGGCGGGTTGAAGCCAGGGGCGGGAGGACTGTCCCGTCCTGTTGGCTTGTGCTCCTGGTTTGTCCCCTGCAGCTGAGCAGGGTGACCTCAGGCAGTGACTTCCCAAAGGCTAGGCTCTGTGGGAGACCCCGTGGGCCTTGGCGAAGATTTTGGCTTTGGTTCTCGTGGTGGCGAGAAGCCGTCAGCCGAGCGGGTGGGAGGGAGTTTCTAGTGTGGGTCTGAATCTGTGACCGTGCTCCATTCCAGGGTGTTGGGGGGAGCCTCCCCTCCATTTGAAGAGGGACATTAAGAAAGAAGTGACAGCATACACTTTGTTCCTCGCAGAACTTCCTTGTAAAAGTCCTGGGAGTTTGGTACCCGGGGTGAGCGCGGCTGTCGCGCGGGGGGGGAGACTAAGGTCCAGGTGGGTGAAGCGACTTGCCGAGGGTTAGAGCAGAGTGGACTCCCAGACGCGGGCCCCTGCTGGACAGATGTGTGTTTCTCGAAAGGCCTGTCTGTCTGGGGGAGGGGCCCAGGAGGCAGGACATCCCCGCCAGCTCCGCGAGAGCTGACAGCAGATTTCGTACCCACCCCACACCCATACAAGCTGGACCCGTGAAGCCGGGAGCGGGAGTGTGGTAGCACGAGGTGGAAGAAGTGTCCCCACGAAGACGTGAAGAGGTGGGGTGCCGGTTCAGGGCCTGCCTGTCCCAGCCTTTAGCTGCCACTTGAGCTGCGTACTTTGGGTCGGCTGTGTGACCCCAGCCTCAGCTTCCTTGTGTGCAAATGGGGCTGATGCTAGAACCTTCCGCAGAGGGTTCCTGCAGGAATCCACACAGATGGGGCTTCTAGAGGATCCAGCCCCGGCATGTGTAGGGGGTCACCTGGTGTGAGCCGTGGCCTTGTCGTTATTGTTGACAGCAATAATCATAACAGCCGGCCCTTACCCAGCTCCCACCGTGTGTCAGATCCTGATTTTCGCGCGGTGCGTGTGTCAGCTCATTTAATTCTCTTAGTAGCTGCATGGGGCGGTGCTGATGTTATCCCCGTTTCCTAGATGAGGAAGCTGAGGCTCAGGGGTGGTGAAGGGACTTGCCCAAGACCACGCAGTTGGCAAGTGGATCAGAGCCCAGGCTGGCTGGCCGTGTAGCCTTGCTCTTGGCCGCCCCGCTGCCCCGTGTTCCAGTGTTGCGGCATCTTTAGGACTGTTCTGTGGCAGGTTTCTTCTGGGTGAATCGTAGGTGTGCAGCCTTTTGGAAACTGAGTTGTGTTAAAAGGCCCCAGGGCCGCTCAGGGCTTAAGAGCAGAGCCTGGGGGAGGGTCTGTTAGGGAGCAAAGGAACTCTCACACCAGGTGCATGACGGAGAGTTGGTGGCTCAGGGTGCACCTGGTCGCCTGGGCTCCCCGTGGCTTTGGCAGGTAAGGAAGGGGCTCCTCCCTGGTCTCTTCTCCAGGGGCTACAGGAAGCCCCCTCCCCAGGTGCCTGTGTTCCTGAGACAGTGAAGCTGTGGTTGAAGATGGAATGCACTCTGGTTCATACGACACAGACAGGCTTCTAGAGGCCCTATACGGGTCCCAGATCTGAGACCCAGGCCCAGTCGTGTGATGGGGCAGTTTCCAGTGGCCCAGTTGCTCCAGACCTGCCCTTCCTATGTTTGGCATCATTCCTTTATCTAGATGGGCAGTTGCTGCTGATCCCGACAGAGCCTCATAAATGCACACAAACTCCTATTCATCCTTCAAAACCCAGCTGTGTATCCCTCCTGTTACCTTTCTGGAGAGAGTGACTCTGACCTGCTTAATGCCTCCCCCATATACCACACGTACTTTTCCTGCCTGAGCATATTAATCTGCCATCACTGCTCATGACCAAGTGCCCACTAGACTGGGTTCATTGTAGGCAGAGGCCGATATCATTCATTTTGTTTCATGCCCTGATGCTTAATACAGAGTGAGTGCTCAAATGTTTGGGAAGCTACCCTGTTCCCTCCTCGCCCTATACCTAGTCCTTCACTTGGTCCAGCTAGGGAATTCTTCCTCTTTGATACCCCATGGCTGACACTTTCTGGCTTTGAGGTGTGGCCAGGCTGGAACCTCTCCCACTCCACACCCCCCCTCCCCCAATAGAAGACGCTGGACCCATGCCTAGTGGAGGCCCTGGATGGGACCAGCCCATATCTTTCTCCCCTCTTGGAGCTTGGAGATCAGAAAAAGGACTTTTCCTTACATCATCTTTCTGTGCCTCAGTTTCATCAGCTGTGAAATGGGGATACTCCTTAAATCTGCCTGACTTCGTGTTATGTGTGATTCAAGTATTAATAACGCGTGCCGTGTGCTCAGTGCTTGACTCATAGTAGGTTCTCAATAAAATGGCCATCGTTACAGTAATAATTTGCCCCCTGCTTTCCCGGCCCCCAGCCACGCTCTGAGCCTGCTGCTCTCAGGGTTTTGGCTTGCACAAAGGGGGCCGAGATCATGGCTTGCTCTTGGGTGGGCTGGGCCCAGGGCTCTAGGCGGAGCTAGTTCTAGGCGCCAGCTTGAGCCCACCTACATACCTACCCTCTGTCATGGGGGCTGGGGGAGAGGGTGAGGCTGGCCTGTTGCCAGCACCCCTCCTCCCTGCTACGACACCCGAAGCCTGGGCCTCGAATTCTGCTGTGAGCAGGGCTCTGGGTCACCCGCGTTTAGTGGGTCTGGATTTGGGGATCCTTGAGAGACGGTTTCGACCTGTTGATGGTGTCTTGCTTGGCTTGTCCTGCCAGCCCACGCTGAGTCCTGGATGGTCTTCCTGAGTTTGGCTGAGTCAGGAGCACCCAGCCTTTCCTGGGTCGCAGGAGGGGCTCAGGTCTCCCACGTGTGCGCCGTGGGCACCCTGCTTTCCATCTGACAGAGACCCGCCCTGAAGTCATCACCTTCCACAGCTCTCTGCCCACCCCGTCCCCAGGCTGGCCCGGCCGAGCGGGCCCTGTGGTCCCTGCCTGGGGGCCTGGACCAGACACAATGTCTGCCTTCACGGCCAGGGGCCCCGGGGGTCCGGCCTGTTGAATTCGCAGCCGCTAAGCCCTTTCTGCCATATGTTCCTGTTTTCCTAATAAGTCCGGGTTGTTAGTGGGGAGGCGGGGAGGCCCCAGGGCAGCTCAGAAATAGTCACATGATTGTGAAATACAAGAATCCTAGAAAGGGTATCTCCCAGCGCCTCTATCTCGTCCTCCCTCCCCCTCCTCCTGTCCCCTGACTGCGGAGGTAATTGTAGACACCCAGCCGGCTTCCAAGGCGCAGGAAGGCATCTCGGGCCTGGCGGGAGCTGTGCCCGCCCCGGGCCCTGGGGGGCGTCAGGCTGGGGGCTTCAGGGGCCCGGCGCCAGAGAACAGGGTGCGTTTGTTCGAACCGAAACTTGGCGGGCTTGCCAGGGCCACTGCGGGGATGCTGAGGCCCTCAGTGTTTGTCTCCAGCCCCGGGAGGGCTTGTAGGGGGACCCTTCCCCGGCCCCGTCTCCGCCCCTGGGCCTGGATGGGCATGCTGGGCTGGGCAGCTGCCTGCTGGTGTGTGTGTGTGTGTGTGTGTGTGTCTGGTGGTGTTTTTTTTTTTAATTCCTCCTCTTCTCCGTCACCCTGCAGAAGAAGGCCGAGGCTGCACATCGGATTCTGGAAGGCCTGGGGCCCCAGGTGGAGCTGGTGAGCTGGGGAACAGGGTGGGGCGCTCTGGGAGGGGGTGGGCAGGGGGGCAGGTGGGGGTGAAGGGAAGGAGAAGTCGTCTGTTGCCAAGCCCTGTCCTGTCCTCGGAAGGGGGCAGGAGATCCACCCTTCGGATGAGAGGGGTGGGCAGGCCGCACTGGGGGTGAGAAGGGGTGCATTGGCGCTCCAGCTACGCTCCCAAGCCCAGCCAGTCGGGCTGCAAGATTCACCAGCTGGAGTCCAACCCATTTGGCCTACAGTTTATCGTGGAAAGCCCATACTCTGGGCCCGGTCCTCTGAGTTCAGCTCTCAGATCTGCTACTTAATAGCAGGTGTCTTAACCTCTCTGTGCCTCAGTTTCCTCATCTGTAAACTGGGACTAATAGTAACACACATCCCACTGGGCTGTAGTGAAGGTTAACCATACTGAGTTTTGGAAAGCCTGATGGAGAGTAAGTGCTGAGCGTTAGTTCTTGCTGTTGTTGTTATTATTATTGTTGTCAGTATCATTTGACTGATGGGAAGATGCCATGTCAGCAGCAGAGCTGGGAAGCAGACTCAGGCCTTTTCTCTCTCAGGCACCCGTCACCCTATGTGTCACCAGAGATAGGAAACAAGGGAGCACCGAAACTCCCGGCTGGTGGCCTTGGAGTCCTGGGAGAAATGGCCAGAGTGCCCACCCCCCTGGGACCGTCACTGTCCCACCGAGCGGGTGGGTGCAGAGCCACGGGGGGCAGTGCGTGGGGACACGCACATAGGATGGATGCGAGGGATCCCCGTGCGTGTGTGCGTGTGCAGGCTGTGGGGTGGAAAAAAATCGGACGCATTTGGAGCCTAATTTTAAACTTGGCTTCACCGTGTGTTTGCCGAGTGGCCTTGGGAAAGGGACTCAGTTTTCTCATCTGTGAAATGGGGAAGCCGAGGATCTTGATGAGGGAGCGCTGAATTGGTGCGGGGAAAAGGCTCACTGACACAGCTCTTGGCCTGTGGTGAGCATTCAGTGTCGTGGACCCTTAGGAGGGAAGAGCTCTTTGCTCTGGAGTTTCTTCTGCAGTGACAGCTGCCCCTCAACCTGGGGTCCGTGTGCTTAGGCCACTAAGAAACTGTGAGCAGCTGGCCTCTTACTGCTCCCAGGTCCTCTCAGGGGGCAGAGCCAGACAGGGAGTGGGGGGCTCCTACGGCTCAGGGGAGGGGCCCAGGGCCTCTCCTGGGGTGGGTGACAGGCTCCCAGCCTGCGGCCTTGCTTCCCTTTGGGCATGCTTTCTGGGATGTCTCTAGCAGCCTCTTTTTAAAAAAATTTAAGTAGCGTTATTGAGATGTAATCCACATGCCATACAATTCACCCATTTAAAGAGTACAAGTTAGTGGGTTTTCGCATATTCACAGATGTGCACAGCCATCTCCATAATCGATTTGAGAACATTTCACCATCTCAAAAAGAACTTTGTTCCCTGAACTATCACCTCCTTATCTCCCATCCCCCCCTCCCCCCCCCCCCCCCTTCCTCCCCCTCCCTCCCAACCAACCACTAGTCTGCTCTCTGTCTCTATGGGTTTCCCTCTTCTGGACATTTCGTATCAGTGGAATCATACAATACGTGACCTTTTGTGTCTGGTTTCTGTCACTCAGCATCCTGTTTTTAAGGTTCATCCATGAGGTGTAGCCTGTGTTGGTGTTTCATTCCTTTTTATGGCTGAATCGTATTCCATTGTACGGATGGACCACATTTAGTTTATCCATTTATTCATTGGTGGGCGTTACGTTGGTTTAGCTTTCGGACATTATAAAGGAAGTGGCTGTGAACGGTAATGTACAGGTTTCCATGTGGATGTGTGTTGCCCTTTCTCTTGGGTAGATACCTCGGCCTGGACCTGCTGGATCGTGTTAATTCTGTGTTTACTCTCTTGAGGAATGAATTACCAGACGGTTTTCCAGAGTCACTCCACTGGTTTCCGTTCCCACCAGTAAGCTGCTGTTGACCTCGCTTTCCCTTTCTTGCCAATGGGGCTGGCGGGACTAGAGGCGTCGCCCAGCCATCTCCAGCCCTGGAGGCTCTCCCTCTCCCCTTTCCTGACCTAATTAGTCCTGGAGGCTCCTGGGCAGGGGCTGGAGTGTGAAGGGAGCCGCTGAGAACAGCAGGGCGTCTGCCGGGCTCACAATTTCAGTGATTCTTCCCTGGGTCTCTGGGGGCGACGAGGCTGTCCTCTGCTCACAGTAGAGGTAGAGGCTTCCTCAAGGCTGGTGGCGCAGGAGGCCGAGGTCTGGGGGGGCGGCGTGGCTGTCACCGGAGCGCTCTAGAAGCTCTAGAAGGCGGTGGGCTTTTGCCTTGGTGGCCTTCCGTGGGGCTGGAGAGGGGCCTCACATTGCCAGGGCACCTGCTGTGTGTCAGGCCTTGTGGAAGCGTCACCATCCATTTTCTAGGTGAGCCTCAGAGAGGGCAGGGCCTTGCCCAGGGTCACACAGCACGAGACGAAGCGGGGAGGTGTGCTGAGCCCATGGGGTTGTGGCTGACCACTTCTGCACTGGTCTGCCCTCTGTCTTGGTTACCACAAGGCCCGAGTGACCAGAGGCGTCCTCCAAGCAGAGGCAGCTCTGAGGCGCACCCTCAGCAGGGCCTGCTTCGGGCCACCGAGGAGTCCGAGCTCAGGCCAGGAGGAAGGGCCCGGGGCTGCTCACCCCGGGTCTCGGGTCGCTGGACTGCACCTCGCGGAATCCAGTTCCCTGGAGCTGTCTCCCATCTGCAGCCCGGGGAACAGTCAGCCGAGGAAGACGGTGTTGAGTGCTCTGTGGCCTCCCTGGTGGGGAGGCCGGGGCCCGGGAGAAGCCCACGTGGGAGAGGTAGATGATGAACAGCGCGGACGGCTCCAGGCAGGGCTCTGCGCCCTGGGGACCAGGCCTGGCCCCGAGCGGGCAGCGGGGGGAGGGTGTGGGCAGCCCCATCCCCCCGCCTCCTCGCCCTGCCGCTTTGAGTACTGGTTTCCTTCCTGTTCAGAGGTGTTATTTTAAGAAGCCGTGTCACCAGAGGGCTGAGGGCCAGCGCAGACACTCCGTTTCTAGCAGCTCGTCCGCCCGGTTCTTCTCCGCCACCCGCCGGCCGCCTGCCGTCAGGTCTGGAGGGGACCCTCCTTCCTTCTCCCCGAGACCCAGCTTCTCTTTCTTAGTCACTTCTGTCTGGGGCCCTACAGTCTGGCACATCCTCCCCTTTGTGCTCCTTCTCCCTCCGATTAGTTGGCTGCACCCCCATTTCTAGAGGAGGAAATGGAGGCATGGAGGGGGCGGGCCTTCCTGCAGGTACCCTAGGCCCCCCAGCCTCGCTCCTCTGGGGTCCGCGGCAGGGACTTTCCCTCTTAGGTCTCGCGTCCCCTTGGCGGGGGCTGGAAACCTGGGAGGTAGCAGAGAAAGCTGCTGTGGGTGTGAAGGCCAAGGTGGCCGCATGGCCGCTGACTGGGGACATGCCTCCTGGGACAGAAGGAGGCCTTGCCTGGCCTTGTGTGTTCCCCTGCCTGCAGGTGGTGAGGAGGGGCATTAGGGGGGGATGCCCTCTGGCCCCGCCCTCCCCTCAGCAGTGCACCAGCCAAGGAGGTGTCATGATACTTCCTCACCCCTGACCCACTCTCACGTCTTCCGAGGCGGCAGCCCGTCACCATGACAACAGACAGCCAGCGGAGGCTGCCCTGGGCCCAGAGGCTTCCCTTCCCGCCCAGGTCTCAGTGTACCTCGAAGGATGCCCAGCGAGCGCCTCCTTGGGGGACAGCCCCTGTGGTCAGAGGCAGCGCACCCCACAGTGCTCTCTGACTTCTCCCTGGCCTTTTGCCGAAGGCCACGTGGAGGGGCGCGGTGCTGTGTCCTCCTCTTACCCAGCGGGGCTGGAGGGTGAAAGTGATTCCTTCCCCCGCGAGTCTGGCGGGTCAGAGGCGGGCTGGGACCCCGCTGCCCTCCCAGAAGCCAGTCTCCCCTTTTCTGGCCCATCCCATTTTGTAGAAACGGGCCGGCCCCCGGCCCCCGCCCATCACTGGCACCCAGGGGCTCTCTATGTGGTCCTTCGGCCCCTCCTGGCCTCCTTAGACCGTGGAGACTTTGCCATCTTTAAAAGCAAAAAAAAGCAGTTGAGTCACCAAGTCTGACATTTCCTGGGCTACTCGAAAGCCCAGTGAGGTAGGTCCTATTTGCTCTACACCCATTTTCCATATGAGAAAACCGAGTCCTGGAGTGTTGAAGGCATGTGTCCAAGGTCACACAGCTAGTGAAATTGGGGTGCATCTGTTCCTGGAAACCGAACATTTAAGCCATACTCATTCCCGCCCGGCCTGTGTTTTATTGGCTTGTGAGGAACGTAAAGGACCGGGCGCAGAGTCACCTGGGGTTAAACACGGGCATTTGATGCCCTGGAATTCAGCACAGGCATCTTTGTGGGGCTCCTTGCTGTCCTGAGATGTGGGCTCTCCACCATGTGCAGTAACGTCTCGCCCCTCTCTGGTTGGGAAGTTTTGCAGTGAGTCTGACGGTGGTCTCTCCTGTTGCCTTCCTGTTCAGACACCCAGAGTGGGGGTGGGGAAACCTCCCCATTTTGAGCCAAGCACCTTGGAAGGGCAGCTGACCCAGTGTGGCGGGACATGGCCTGTGCTAGCCATGAGGCGACATCTCCATCCCAGGTGGAGCAGCTGGACTTGGGGCCTGCAATTACCTGAGTAATAGTGTATTGTCATGGAGGGAACCTGGGGGACACTGGGAGAGAGGTGCCATTGTCCTCAGCCAAGGCTGAGGTGATTCCCAGGGCAGCAGAGGCCCCTCCTTGAGGACCCTGCCCTGTCCACAGAGAGCAGGAGGCCTGTCCCTGGGGACACGGCAGGTTGGACCTGTGGCCATGCTGCTTGTGGGTGGTCCCCATCGGCTGGGATGATGTCAGGAGGTGTATTCAGGTCCATGCTCAGGGAGAAGTTCAAGGGTGGGGCCTGACGTGCCTTCTTCCCTCACCCCGGGGCCCTGCCCTGAGGCTTCAGGACACCATGTCTCCATCTTCACCTGCCCAGCCTGACCCGTCACACTCTGTACCTGGTTTTTGTACCACAGTCATCCATGGCTGTCTGGGAGGCTCCTGCTACCTGTGTGGGTGTGTGAGACAGAGAGAGGGAAGGAGGGGAGAGGGAAGGGAAGAGAGGGCAACACAAAAAGAGACACACAGAGACATAAAGAGGGGGACATGCAGAGAAGGGAGCAAGCAGAGAAAGGGCAAACCCCTTCCTCCAGGGCTGGAGCTGAGAGGCGGGATGCCTCATCTCTTACCAGCCAGAGGCAAATGTTTTAACTTCTCAGGGACTAGATTTTCTCACCTGTAAAATGGGGATGGTAATTGTATCAGTCAGCGACTGCTGTGTAACAAATCAGCCCCAAACATAGTGGTTTGAAACAACAACGTTTTGCTGTTTTCCGCGAGTGTAGAAGTCAGCTGAGTAATTTCTCTCGACTGGGCTCAGCTCACTCACATCCGTGGGCAGCTAGGAGGTCAGATGGCGGCTCACGGTTTTGCTGGGATGGTGCTGCTGTCCTCCATGCAGCTCTCTGCCAGGCTACACTTGGTCTCTTGACGGGGGTTGGGGGGGGCAGGCGAACAAGAGAGGAAGAAAGAGCAGAAACGCCTCGTCTGCTTTCATGAAGCTTGCATCTGTCCCATTGGCCAAAGCAAGGGCGTGAGTGGGTATGGGGGGAGGGGCAGGAAAAATTGCTTCCATGAATGCAGTCACTGCACCCTGATGGTGATAATGACCCTGAGACTTCTTGGACCTCTCAGTCTGCCAGGCGCTGGGCTGAGGGCTTTGCACGCATTACCTCCTTTGATCTTCACAACTCTCTGAGTTTAACCCCATTTACAGATGAAAACCTGGGGCACAGATGGCTTGAGTAGCTCACCCAGAGACACACAGCTGGAAAGTGGCAGAGCCGGGATGCGAACCCGGGGGTTAGCCCCTAACTGCAGCGCTGCCATCCAGCCGGGAGATAACACGACATCCATCGAGCTCAGCTCTTGCCCCATCGCAGACGCTGCAGCGACTTCCTCCTTTTCATTTGCGGATTTGTCGCTGTATGTGCGCCCAGTTCATTCATTTCTCACTGCTGTGCAGTCTTCGAGGTGTAAACGCGTGCTAACTTATTTCTTCCTCTTTCTGGAGGTGGACACTTAACTTGCTTCTAATGCGTTGCTGTTATGAACAACGCGGTCCGGGCATTCTGGCGTCCATCTCCTGGCGGGACACAGTGCCCGACCGCTTCCAGGGCTTCCGCGGTAGGGGAAGGGGGTCACAGGGCACAAGCATTTTCATCCTTTCACATCTCCGGGACACGTGTACCTGCGTACGTTTCTATCGGCCATGTGCACGCCTTCCAGTGTCCTCACGTCTTCACCAACCCCTGGCACTCTTTGGCTGTTTTATCTTCTGCCGGTCAGCGGTGGTGACGGGGCATCTCACGGTGCTTTGGCAGTCTTCCCCGTTCAAGACCATTGCTGATCTCAGCTTCCCTGGGATGTGTGTGCTTGTCCCTGGGCGCTCAGGCCAGCCCTGCCCCGTGCCCTGCAGAGCAGCCACGGCAGCCACTGCGGTGAGGGCTCATGGTACCCACAGCTGTGCCCAGAGAGTTACAGCCTGTTCCTCGCCGGGGCTGAGGGCTGGGTCCCTGTGTTCCGTTTCATGCCTGCCGGCAGCTGGTTCCCACACCAGTGGATGGCTCCCTGGTGCCAGGGCCTGGGGCGCTGCGGCTGAGGGGCCGCAGGGCTCTGCAGTGGGGTAGTAGCCGGCCCAGCTCGCACCGGCTGCCCACAGCCCAGGCCCTGCTCCAACGCGCCTCCCTGTCTCTTTCCTTGCAGCCATTGTACAACCAGCCCTCCGACACCAGGCAATATCATGAGAACATCAAAATGTGAGTACCTGTGGGCAGCCATGCAGATGCACAGCGGGGTGGGGGCCTAGGGTGGGATGTGGGTTCTCAGTTCCCAGCGGGCTCCCAGCCAGGGCCAGGTGCTGGAGGAGGGGATGGAAGGGGGCAACCTGGGCAAGAGTTCCGGGCCTAGGATGGAGAGGCCTGCGAGGCCAGGGGAGGGGCAGAGGGCGTGGCCCCGTGAAGCTTTGGGAAGAGACCTGGGCTTGGGGAGGGCGGGCCAGCTGCACGCACAGCTCTGGAGAGGTAGAGGAGGAGGGCTGTTAGAGTAGGAGCAAGTTGCCGGGCGGGGGAGAGTGGGCTCAGGGTGGCGGGGGCGGCCATGGAGCAAGCAGGGGCCCATGGTTTGGCCTCTGATGTAAGCATATTCGGGACTGCCCTGTGGTCTGCACAGGGTGTCCATCTGTGGTACAGCCCAGTGTGGAGCAGCGGGGAGCGCTAATCCAGACCCAGAGGCTTTGGAGGGGCCAATATGACGTATCCCAGTGACGGGGCCTTTTCCCAGATGGATGCTAGAAGCGAAAAACTATCAGTGAAGTGCCCCCCACAGTTGGTGTGGGCCGAGCTGGCAGAGCAGGGACAGCCGGACTGTGCTGGGGACCAGTGACTTTATGTGTTTAGGCTGGGAGCCAGGTATTGGAGGTGTGGCTGCCGGAAGGGGGCTGGCTTTTTTCTTGGGATGCATTAGTGGGAGCATAGCCTCCTTGGCTGAGGAGGGGATATTACCTCATGTTGTTAACCAGGAGCCCAAAAGGTAAAAGGGGTCTTGCCCCTTGAGGAACGTGTGGCTGCAAGCACTCCGGGACTGTTAGCTTAGAGGAGACCCTTTGGGATCACAATCATTGAACTGTTCAAGGTTCATTTTTGTGTGACCTCAGGAGGGCGGTGCTTAGCTGGTCCAGTGGGCAGTCCAGTTTGGTCTGATTGTCTGAGCTTCCTTGGGGTGGAACTGCAGGGTGTACGTGCAACAGTGAGCTCCCCATCCCCGGAGGCATGCAAACCTCCCGATGGTTTTAAACTCCCCTGGCTCTGGACTAGTTGTTGCAGAGGTCCCTTCTGTTGTAGTTTCTGGACTCGAGTGACTAGTCTAGGCTCTGGTGACCAACACGGCCACCCACCCCCGAGTCTCTGATGGAGCAACCTAGAAAATCCCGTGTTGCCAGCAAGGTCCTCGGCCCATTTGGGCTCGAGAGCACCTGCCGAGGATGCTTCACCTGTATTGCCGGCCGTCACTCAGCCTGGGCTGGCAGGGGCTGTGGAGTGTCCTGTACTGGGAACACTGGTGTAGTGCTAGGCTTTCTGCGTCCCACGTGGCCTGTGCTTCTGTCCGGCCTTAGAGCGTGTTCGCTGCCCAGGCACCAAATCCGTCTCAACTTTACACGGTTTATTTTCCAATCAGGCCACCGTAGTCTTTATAAGCTTCCTGGGACCTGCCTCATCGTGGGGACAACTGCTGGGAGTGGGGGAGGCCCAGATGGGTGTTAGGTGAGGACAAGGGGGCCTTTCGGGCCTGTCACAGCTGGTTTAGGTGATGGGGGTGAGGTGTTCTCACCTGGGCAAACCTGCTGGGAACGTTCGCTCGTTCAATACACACTTACTACACTTACTGTGTGCCCGGCCCTGTTCTAGGGACCTGGGGATTCAGCTGTGAACAGGACAAAGTTACCCATACTTTCATTAAGTTTTATCTAGCAGGGGAGACAGAAAACAAGTGAGTTAATAAGTGAATAAGAAAACATCAGCTAATAAAAAATACTGTGGTCACATAGCTATCTTAAGCTCTTTATGCTTTAATATACCTAGTTTTATTTTTCCTTTCAGCATAACAATTTTGATAGCAATATTATTACACTGAAACTTTTACATAAGTTTTTCCACTAAACTAAAAATGAGTACTATTTTAAGCCGAATAATGTGGAGGATTTCAGGCTATAAAAACAGCCATAGAATCCAAACAGCAAAGGAAAAATGTATCCCTGCAAATAATACTAGCAAACAAGGTACTGCTACGTCTCTAAGTAGAATACAACTATAAGCTTATTGAACCAACGCCCTATTTTTATATCCCATAATCTTCATCGGAGGATGGCTCTGGTCTACTAGAGAACATTTTGGCTGTGTAAGTAACTGCCGAGTGAAATTTGTTCCAAATCTAAGTCACAGATGGACAGATGTTTAAGTGTAAAACATAGAGGTAAATAATTTTAAGATTTTTCCTGTTATAAGTGGTCAGCTTTATGTTAGAAAAATGTATCTGTAAGCAAGTTATTTGAACTGATTTCTTCTTAGAACGTTAATGTTTTTTCATAGTTTGCCTCTGAAATCATAATCACTTCTGTAATTTTAATTTCAGTGTGGTCATCATTAAGTCAGTGCAGTCATTTACTTTAAAAAATGCTGTGAAGATGGCAAACAGGGTGATGGGAGAGAAAGTAAGGGGGGACTTTAGCCAGGGAGATCAGGGCGGGACCTAACAGTTGAGGGAACCTTCGGGGACTGTGCCAGCTGGAGTGTAGTCCCCCAGGCAGGTAGAAGAGGCAGTGCAAAGGCCCTGGGGCTGGACAGAGCACGCGGGTATGTCCCGAGGGGGTAGGTGAGGGAGAGGAAGGCGCCAGCCAGATCACGCAGAGCTGGTGAGGAGTTTGGGTTTTATCATCTGTGCGAAGGGAGGCCAACGATGAAGTTTATGCCGAGAAGTGATTTGATTGGATTTTGGGGAGCCGATGGGCCAGGGGCATGTTGAGAGCCCCAAGCATCTGGCTCGTGTGGCTAGTCACGTACTACCAGTGCCTTGGTTGCCCCATCTGTGAGATGGGTTGCTGAAGATTCAATGAATTACTACCCCTGAAGTGCTGAGCTCGGTGTCAGGCGTGTAGGAAGCGTTCTGTGATTTTTGTTCTTTTTACTTAACCAACAGAGACCAAGAGTGATCCCTCAGTCATTCACTCAAATATTCAAATATTTATGAGCACCTGCTCTGTGCCAGCCGCTGTTTGGGTCCTGGGGAGACAGCAGTGGATGAGGCCCGCCATTCTGGTGCTGCAGACAGACAATAAATAAATACGCCTGTGATAGAAAGACAGCTTGATAAGGACAATAAGACAGATCAGGCTGGGGCTGCGTCTCAGGGCGCAGCGCTTCACCAGGTCACCCCAGCCGGGCCTCCCAGCCTCTCTCCGGCTGCTGTAGTTGCCGCCAGGTGGAAGGTTATCCCCTCCCCAAGGGACCTTGCCCTGTCACTTTAATTTCTCAGTGTTTGCGCGCGGGGGCCGCGGAGTTAAAGTTAATTTCACGCTTGACTTCCTGCTGCATTGGCAATTGCGGATGTGTTGAAGTCACCTGTACCCACCTCGACTGCTGTCCTCTGCCACCTGCCTCTTCGGGAGGTGTGGGGATGGCCACCCCTGCTCCCGGCGGGGTCGGGGACGGGGGAGGCGGGTGACTCACTGTGGGGTCTTAGCCCCAGGTCTCGGGACTGACTCCTCAGACCTCCCAGGCTTTGGGAAGCAGGGGAAAGGGCAGGAGATGGGGGCGGGGGCAACCCCAGAGCCGCATCAGCTCGTGCTCCCTGGAGGGACTGGCCTCCTCTCTGCAGGCCGGACCTGCCGGGAGAGCTCGGAGCTGAATTCACTGGGTTGGGGAGCCCACAGGTGATTCGGTGAAAGGGCATGGGATTGATGCAACGGTGATGGTTGAGGCTCCTGTGTGTTCTGCTGTGGCCACCCCTTCACCTGGTGTCCTCTCCTCCCCTCGGGGCCTGGAAGCCTGCTAGCTCCTGGTAGCTCTTCCTTCCCAATTTTCTGGTCTTCAGACTGATTTTTCCCCTCCTCAGCCCTCGTTGAGGGCTGGCTGATGCCCTGGGGCCGTGCAGGTGGAAAGGGTGCTCAGGACCCAGGTTACTGTTAACAGGTCCTTGTGGTCTTGCTCTGGAGGTTCAGAGATGTTAAGTAACTTCCCCAGGGCCTCACAGCCGAACTCCTAGACCAGCCCAATCTGCGCACCCACCTGCTTCCCTCTCCTGGGTCTGCAGTCCGGACTCTGCCGCTCGCTAGCCCGGTGACCTCGGGCAAGTCACATCACTTAGCTTGTCAGTAAGTTGGTCTCCTTGGCGTCGTCTTGCATGGGAAAAGTGCTTGGCCCCTAGTAAGCATGTTTTGGACCATCAGTCACCCCGGTCTGACAGGCTTTTCCCAAAGCATTCAGGGCCCTGCATGGGCTGCTTCCCCCACAGTCGGGGGTCTGGCTCTCCCTGAACGCCCCTCCTCACTCCCTCCAAATTCACTGTCACCCTTACTCCCCCAGAACCCAGTATTCTCCTCATTTCCCTCTGCCCACCCCATTCCCTTACTTCTCCCAAGCTTCATCTCAAACCTCTCCTCCTCCAGGAAGCCTCCCCTGATTGCCCCCACACTTTCCTTTTTCAGAACTCTATAGACCCCAGGGCCAGTCCCACCCAGGGCCTGGCCAGGCTCTCCTTGAACGTCCACAGACTTTCCAACTCCTTTTTCCTCCTTCCTGGTTCCCGTTTCTCCCCCTAGTCCAGTGTCAGCCGACAAGGCCAGTATTTCTTCACAGGCTTTGCTTTTTTAAACCCTGCCTTCTCTAGGAGATTGAGATATCCTTTGCACCCTATAAATGCCTCCACCGGCAAACTCATCACACTGCTGGTCTGTCGGTCCTTCCAGAGCCCTCTGGACTCTGTTCCCTATTTTTGGACAAAATCTCAGCAGAGAAGATTTGTCTGCAGTATGCCATTAGCAGCTGCAATACCTAAACACTTCTTGGAACAAAATAAACACTCAAAAAGTGTTTGCCAGAAGAATGTTGGACAAGTGGTCACCCCAAACCAGATGTCTAGGGGCTTGCGAACCACGCAGATGCATGCCTCCAGGGCGGGAACAAAGTTAGAGGGGAAAGGGCTGGTGGGAGGCGGTAGGGAGTGGTGACGCCTGGGGTGAGTGGTGAGCTCCTCACGCTTTTAA